CTCATCTTACTACTGTTGACCAGAAAAGGGTGGTGGCTCATTAAACTACCAGTACTTTCCGTGTTTGCAGAAGTGTCTGAAACCGTGCCGTCCATCTACAATTCAGCTTTAAGTTCTTTCTCAGCTGTCTCCATCTCAGTTGCTTATGTTTGGTTTCTAGTTTCCCTTCCTTGTACCTTTGCTTTTATTATGATTTTTCACCCAAGTAAATGGGAGACTAGCTAAAGGGGTGGTGAATGGTACTAGTGGGAAATATGCCACCACATCCCAGTGCAGGCCAGTGTGGCCCGACCTGTCGCTCTTCCAAGTCTGTGCTGCCAGCAGCCAGGATGGCAACTTATGCGTCAGGGCCCTCACTTCCCCACACCCACCTTGGCTGGTTTCTGAGGCAGAAGTGCTCACACTGCTGAAATTAAAATTATTTGTTGTCATTTCACCTTCCCTCCTCCTGCCATCCCTCCTTTCTACCTACAAGTGTATGTGTCTCAGAAGGTAATTTGCTTTTGCAGAAGACTGCTGGTGCCTTTCCCCCTTTTTGGTACCTAGCTCTCTGAACTCTCCTCAGAAGTCCTGCTGTTATAACCTGAGTGGACGGGTGTTACTTTGCTGAGTGGTGTACAAGGCGATGTGAGCCTATCTGTTGTACCTGTGTTTAATGTGCACCAAGCAGCTGGACTGTGGTCTGCGGCGTTGCTGGAGGGAAGGTGTGTTCAGCCGGACTCATTCTGGATCACAGCAGCCTGTGCCCAGAGTCGGGCATAGAGTCCATCTTTCATGTCAGCTTCCATCCACCACACGAGGGCATATGTGAAGGAGGACTCTGAGGCCATGTGTGGCACAGCACGAGACAGTGCCGCGATCAGCTGATGGCATCTGCCGTGCTCACAGAAACAGGGTGTGGCGGTCCTTGGATTCTCCCTTGGACAGCTCTCTCCTGAGCTGCTTAACGCTGCTGGCACATACAAGATCACAGTCCTAAGGAAATTTTATGTAAATCTGGTTTTCCTTGCATAGTAGCGAGCCCTTTAGTTTTGCCAAAGGACTGAAGAATGGTAGGGGGAGGGGAGCCTTCGGGGCTATAACCCAGACGCCTTGACCACAGTCACTGGATCTTACTGGTCAAAGTGCTTGTCCATCAGTTTCCTAGAAACAGCCCCATGGAGAGAAGCATGGCCATGAGTTCATGGCGCAGGATTTACTCGTCAGAGTAATGCCAAGGTCCCACCTTTGGAATGGCATTATTCCGTGTTTCCCAGTGCCCCACAGATCTCGGCAGGTATATCAGTACATCTCGTGTTCATAATGAACCTAGAGCATTGGCCATAAGTGCCACACCACAGAACTATGCATAAAAAAGGATGTTTTTATTTTAACTCGAGTGCTTAGAAGTTTGTCTCATGGCAGGGAGCCTGAAGTCACATTGGGTACAGCTCACAGAGCGGCTTCTGACTCTTCCGTCAGGAAACGGTTAGTCTGACCGCCCCAAGTGGGAGGAAGAAGACCACAAGTTCTTATACAAATATTTTCGTTGTGATTAACTTTTAATGTCTTGAGCCTGCATTGACTGATTTATTTCAGTTTCTTTGTCAACGAAGGGAAGAGAGTAAGCCAAGACCTGTCCAGAAACATTTCTTACTCAAAACTGCAAATGTGTGAAGTGGTAACAGAGCTGTCCCTTCTACAAAAGAGAATTCTTTTCTCCAAAATGATTTTGATTGAGTTTTGGGTTTTTGCATCGTAATCGTTTAACAAATATTTATTGAGCTCCTACAGTATGTGGCGCCGTTCTAGACCCTCAGGATGCAATGCGAAAACCAAGACAGAAAATAATCCCTGCCCTCGAGGAGCTTACTATCTCCTCTTACTTACTATATCTTACTATACTTTCATTATTTCATAGCTGTACAGATGGTGTTAGTTGTTTATTCCAGTGGTAATACTTTTTCTTAGTGGATTGTAAAAGACGAGTTTTTTTCTTAGTTTGGTTAGGTATAAGGTCCTGCTTCCAGTGGTGTTCTGTTGTGTCATTTTTGTTCTGTTTTGTTGAACTTGAAAGAGTAGTTAGTAATGAGAGTTCTCATTGGCTTAGATTCTTTTCTCTATCACAAGGAACACACTTCTAGGGGAGAATTAGCATTTTATACCAATTTTTAAAACTGTGTCCTTCTACCTAGCCTGCCTGTTCTCCTAAGAAAAGCATTGTGAATTGCATATTGGTCACACATATAAGGGAAATAGCTGTTAGATAGTGTTTTGAAGAAATGGATGTAGATCTCTTTCTCCTCCATTAATCAGAATTTCTCTACCTTGATGCTCTTAACATTTGGGGCCAGTTATTTCTTTGCTGTTGGAGGTTGTCCTGCGTTGTACAATGTTTAGCAGTATCCTTGGCCTCTACTGACTAGGTACCAGTAGTGCCTCTTTTCCCTGAGTTGTGGCAACCAAAAGTGTCTCTAGACATTGCCTGTTACGTCCCTTGGTGGGTGTGAGAGGAGTAAAAGTCAGCTCCAGCTGAAAACCGCTGTTGTCGATAATGTGATACTGTGATTCAGTTCTCACAGCTTCCAATTACAGTAGATCAGTGAAATCCCTGGAAAAAAGCACCGGGGACAAGAACTGTCTTCTGTTGGGCCTTTGTGGGAACTTAAAGCAACTTTCTGCCATAAAGGAGTTAATATAAAATAAGCAAGATATTTCTCAATCCTGTGAAGCAATACCCACAACAAATGATGAAATTCCTTCAATAAATCATGCCTTGGACATAGTTTGCATTTCCTATTGGAAATTCGTTAAAATGGCATTCATCTACCATAAGTTAGAGAGCATATTGGACCCAGTATATTGTAAGTTAATCTTGAATGATTTACACATAAATGTGTTCCAGATTGGGTGATCTCAACTCAGGCAGTGGGCGGCTCGTTTCCAGACATTTCCATCAGGAACTGACATTGAATTCCACAAGTATTTATTGAAATGTGTAATGTAAGAGGACATTAGAGCAGTCTGATGCTGCTTTCATGTCCCTTTTCCCCAGAAAGGGCGTGCTCAGAACAGTGCCCCCCACCAAGAGTCTCTGTATCTGATATGACATTACCCACTTTGGATTGCAAGATACTAAGAGCAACTAGTGCTTTCATTCTTCTTCACGACTGTCCCTTCCATTCCCGTACCAGCTTTGCCCTCCCCAGTGAACACATGTAATTACATATGATGTCATGCATTTCTTATTTGATCCTTTGGTTCCATACGGGCCACTCTTCAGAGTTTTGGAAAGGACATCCATTGCATGTTCTACCTACCCCCATCGACCTGATAGGTATTACAGTCCAAAGTACGATCATTTAACCAAATTAACCTTGTATTTCTGAATCCTCTTTCTTTCTCACATATACCAATAGATTAAAAAAAAAAATGCATGGTCAACTGCTGATGTTAGTTGCTGAGAGAAGGGTTGGTCTTGGCTGCAGAGAGAAAGGGTGACAGAGAAACATACTGGGCTAGAGAATTCTCCTTCACTCATCTGATTGCCTGTATAGAGCACCTACTGTGTGCCACGCACTGGCATTATAGCTATGACAAAAGTGGACAGGGCCCTGTTTTCCTGGAACCCACAGTCCACTGGGCCATGAGATAAGTGGTCAAACCATGTTTTAATATGGCAGAATAGGTGCCATGATGGGAGAAATCAAGATGCCGGGAGAGCACTTAGAAAGAGCATCACCCCAGCCTTGGAAGGTGGGTGCGGGGATCAGAGAAGGCTTTGCAGAGGAAGCAGTGTCTTACCTGGAACATGAAGGGTATGTTGCACTTCAGGAAAGAATGTTCCAGGCCACGTTCCAAGGCCTAAAGGAAGGCAGAAAAAATTGAACCTTTAAGTAACTGAGAAGTTCGGCATGTCTGGATAGTAGAGTGTGAGACGGGGAGAGTGAGAAGTAAAACGGAAGCAAATAAGGTTGCTTCCCAGGATTCTGATTTGAGCAAGTCAGTCATTGATGGTGGCATTTCTACAATAAACATAGAAGTAGGTTGGAGGAGGGTGGGGTGACAATGACCTGAGCTTTCAATCCACCACTAACTCTGGAACTTGAGATTGATTTTTTTTTTAATATTTCTGTAAGATGTCAAAAGCTAATGGAAATTTGGAAAGTTAATTAGCAGCTGAAAGTGATTTTGTTACTGTAGGCTATCATGACATCCTGCAAATATACCCAGACCTCTTTGTTTCTACCAATTTTATTCTATTTTTTAAATTTTTTAAAGGTGGGGAGAGGCAGAGGGAGAGGGATAGAGAGAATCTTAAGGAAGCTCCACCCCTAGCCCAGAGTCCAACGTGGGGCTCAATCTCACGACCTGAGATCATGACCTAAGCCAAAATCAAGAGTCAGACATTTAACCAACTGAGCCACCCAGGTGCCTCTAATTGTATTTTTCATCCAGCAACGATTTCTTAATTTTGATACTTATCATCTGACTGCTTAAAATTCACCAGGTGTGTGCCTGAATAATGGGCACCCATGAGAAAAGAATTATGATGAGCTGTTCAGGGGCTATCTTCTGGCTTTTCCAGCACTCCTCCACCCTCTTGCTTGGATTTTTTTCCCCCATAATGGAGGTTTTATTCTAATATTGCATGGACTCACTTTCTAGAGCATATATTATCCTTTTAGATAACTGAAGAAAAACATAGTATGTGGTCTTGGGCTATCTTTAAGCAGGTGCATAATGTTTGAGGATTTTAAGGGGTGCAGGCCTCATTTCAGGACATCGCTGCCTGGTGACCATACTCTGTGTGGCTCCTGTCACCCTGAGCACAGGAGGAACGAATGTGATTGTCAAGTTAAGGCCATGAGATCGCTTCTAACCATCAGCCCTAGCCACTGCCTTTCCTCCTGTCCCTTTTAGGCCTGAAAATGGCCAAGGGCAAGCCTTATAAATGATCCCTCTTTCATCCAGCAGCCCCGCAGCATCAAGTTCATGTGGCTCCCTTTTGTTTTCGGCAGGAATTTAGATAATGGGCTGTGTGCAATGTAAGGATAAAGAAGCAACAAAACTGACGGAGGAGAGGGACGGCAGCCTGACCCAGAGCTCCGGGTACCGCTATGGCACAGACCCCACCCCGCAGCACTACCCCAGCTTCGGCGTGACCTCCATCCCAAACTACAACAACTTCCACGCAGCCGCAGGCCAAGGACTCACCGTCTTCGGGGGTGTGAACTCTTCGTCTCATACCGGGACCTTGCGTACCAGGGGAGGAACAGGTAAGAGTGAAGCTGTTCTGCATTCTTTTGTCTACTGAACATTCCTGTTCCAGGCTGCTCCCTTTGACTACGGATTAAACATTAAGTTTTTCATCAGTCTCCATCTCTCCACTGCCAGATGAAGGGCTCTTAAAACAAAAACAAAAACCGAAACAAACAGGACTTGATGGACTGAGGAAATGCTGGCTTCAGTGAGGCGAGGTGCCCCCAGGTTGCCACTCTGGGAGGATTCTGCGTGGGTTAGGAGACACACAGCTGGCTCTAAGGTACTCTAGGCCAATCGGTGGTCCCAGCCGTGGCTGGCTGACTCAGAATAACTAGCAGCTTTCTCAGAACACTGAGTCCCATCCCAGATCTTTTGAATCAGAAGCTCTGGGACTGGATCTGAGACTGTCATGTTTTGAGTCCTCTGGATATCGGTGCACTTTCCTCCCCTCCCCCAGCTAAGAGCCACTTCGCAGGCGGTAGCACCTTCTCCCTCATCTTCCTAATCTCCAGCCTGCCTGTCACCTCCCAGCCAGTGGGGACATTTGGCGGCATCCCTTTTTGGCCGTTCCTCCTCATTAATGCTCTCTCTGATCTTCCCATCACCTTCCATGGGACGCAGTTTATCAACCCTCAAGTGTATCGTGATCTCTTGTATCTTAAAATCACATTTTATGTATCCTTAAGGAATCCTTCTCTCTCTCTTTTTTTTTTAAGTTTCCTTCCCTTTCCCACCATGACGCTCTGTTTTACTGCCATGTACATTTGCTGACTTAGCTAATACTTTGTAAAATATCTGGCATACATTCTCAGACATATGTTTCGCAGAATATTTGTAAGTTATCTCATGCATCCTTAGCCTTCCAAATCATCTCCCAGCATGTGAATCATGGTAACTAGATATTTGACATTATTTGTTCCAAAACTGTTTTGTTTATTAGAAAAGTTTAAAGAAATATACGTCAGCCATTATGCTCTTGGCTCACCTGGGAGCAGAAGTCTTTTATGAGGACCCCACTGTGCCTTTTTACCTGGGGGGGTTGGCACTACTGAGACATTAGCAGGGTTTTGGGGGTTTTTTTGTTTTGTTTTTCCCCTCTGCATGCCACATGGCAGTATAGTTCTCTCCAGGGGACCTGACCCAGAGCTTTAGGCACCACTTCATTGTGTTGTAGTGGATCCAACTTTCTCTTTAAAGTAGGCCCCGTGTGAGCTAATGAGTGTTAGCACACTCACTAATCTTTCCTCCCTTCCTGGAAAGCACCTGGAGTGGAGGGAGGAAAGAAAGAAGCATTCTATGGAAGTCTGTCTCTGAGGATGCGGGAGGGGGAAAAGAGCCAAAAATGCACCAGCACACACTTCCTGTGCCTGCTGAGTTCTCGCCAACCAGACTGAGTTCTGCTGATGCGGACATTGACCTTGCTCATTCATTCATGAATGCTGGATCTGAATCCCTGTGTCTGCAGGTATCATTCATAAAGTCGCTAGAAAGGGATAATTGCCTTGAACATGGGAGTCTACACTGTAGTCAGGGACAACCTTAATATAAGAGGCCACCTGGTCCCTTTTAAAATTTGGAAGTTAATACACAGTACTCGCAAATGTTGGCAGATTTCTCTGCCTTGTATTATTTGGCTTTGTTATATGTGTGTGTCTGTCTCTCCATCACTGTGCTTAGTGCTTTAAGGCCGAGAACAGCGTCTGTGTGCCCCTGTGACCTCCTTTGACTCTCCCCTCCATCCTTAAAAGATCAAAACCCCAGTGAGAACTTACTGGCCGAGCAGGGAGAGAGTGGGAGACTGGAAGTGTCTGTCCTCGTGCGCCTTATCGTCCACACGATAGAGCTTGGGTTTGTTTTCGAATTATGTAACAAAAGGAATCTGTTAATCGACTGTTCAATGAGAACAAGCATGACTTTACAGGCTTCCATGTCTTTGTTTTAAGCCACTTTCTAACCTTTCAAAGAAATTGAAAGTTGCCAAATGAGCCCTGCTACTTTGCACGGTCAGACCTTCTGAATGCCAGTTCTCCCCCAGGAAGTCCCACTTGGGATCGGGTAGAAAAACAAGCCCTGCCTCCTTCTCTGGTCTTCAAATAGTCCCACAGGCACATCTGCTCCCTTGGAAGTACTGACACAGCAAAATGGCGGCTTGGTAAAGCGTGGAATCCATGCCGTGCGTTCTTTAGGCCACTAAAGGCACTTTGAAGTGTGCGGAGATCAAAATGAGGAGCCAGAGAGTGGAGAAATGGAATGTATTAGTTAACAACGGATGCATAACATGTTACTACAAACTTAGCAGCTTTAAGACAAAGCATATTTAGGACCTCACAGTTCCTGGGGGTCAGAAATCCAGGAATGGCTTCTCTGGGCGCCCCATTTCAGAACCTCTCACTGGCTGCAGTCAGGGGTGTCGGCCGGGCTGCAGTCACCTCACAGCCCAGCTGAGGAGGATCTGCTGCCAAGCTCGTGTGGTGCTGGCAGGACTCAGTTCCTCGTTGGCTGTTGGCCAGAGGCCACCGTCCGTTCTTTGTCATGTGTGTCTTTCCAACATGGCAGCTTGCTGCATCAAAGCGTTCGGGCCACAGTGGCAACACGGAGAGTCGGCTGGGAAGACAGAAGTTGCCATCTTCTGAAGCCTCGTCACTTACGGGACATCCCATCACCTTTGCCATGTCCTCTTGGTTAGAAGCAAATCACTGGGTTCGCCCACACTCACAGGAGGGGGATTACACACGAGCAGGAATGCCAGGAGGTGGGAATCATGGAGGACTGTCTTGGAATTCTACCCACTATATGAAGGAGGTCCTAAGTCAAATGGGCTGCTGGAAATTTCCTGTTGTTAACAGCAGACTTGTGCAGAGCAAGAAGGGCCTCTGTGGGGAGTCCACCAGCTGAGAAGACGTAGGGGGGGTGTGAAGAGGAATAAGGACTACAGATCACTGCAAGGGTAGGCAGACTTGTGGCAGGAGAGAGGGAGTCTCCAGAGCAACTGCAGATGCCAAGAGCAAGACATCAGTTGGGGTGAGCATTTGTGAGAGGGTCTTCTCAGACCCAGGCCGCAGAAGGAGTCTCCCGTTACAGTCTCCATTACTGTGAGGTCACGGGAGAGAGGGATCTGTTTTACCCTCACCCTAACGTGGGCTCCTGAGAGGAAGGGAATCTGTGTCTTTAACTGACGCAGTCCTCTGCAGATCTGACCTCTAACACTGCTCTTGGTTGTGGACATGATATTAATATCTGTCTCTTCCCGAGGACTCGTTCAGAGATCGCACAGTGCTTCCCCTGCAAAGGGCGAGGCATGACTTCAGCCCCACCACCCTGGTTTCATGTTAATTACATCACCGCACCATGTTATCTCTGCTGATTAGATGAAGATTGTGAGAATGAGATTTCAGTGAACGATGTCATTTCTTGGCATTAATTTCCCCTTGTGTAATAATCTCTCCCCTTTTGGTTCTCAGGAGTGACCCTGTTTGTAGCCCTTTATGATTATGAAGCACGGACGGAAGATGACCTGAGTTTTCACAAAGGAGAGAAATTCCAAATACTGAACAGCTCGTAAGTTCGGAGAGGGACAGGGAAGTGTGCATGTCTTTCAGATTGAGAAAGGATACTTGTGTTCCCAGTCTGTGCCTTTTTAGTTTCTGAAATGCTAAAAGAACACTTGCTGAATTCAGTAACGGGTAACAACTGAACTTGAGACATGAAGAGTTGACGAGCCAGTGCAATATTTTACAGGGCTGGTGTCCAAGGAGCTTTTTGGAAGACACCACAGTCTCAGAGTTGAGGCTTTTGGTTTACAGGTTGGAAAAGTTCCGGTTTCGCCCCTTGTAGATCTGTGTTTTCAGATGATTGGCACAAAGCTTGGCTATCCACACCACCGTCTCTCTGCCTTGACATGGGTTGTTTGGGGTTTTTTTGTATTTTGCAAGATGCACTATCTGAGCCCTCACTCACAGCCGGCAACAAGTTCCTTCTGTTTTCAAAACTGCTAAATACTCTGATTGGTGAGGCTCTGGAGGCGTTGCCCCATAGTGAAAATTCGCGAGTGACTGAAATCTTTGTGAGAGGGAAGGAGAAGTGACTTCGCCCACTTGCGAATGACTACAATATGCGTTTTAAATGTGACCCATAGGAACAACAGTTAAACAGGCAATGGGGACATTCTAAGGGTAAGAATCACTCACTGTAATTCTACACTTAAGACCTATAAAAGAGTAAACATGGTATATATGATATTATATATAGGGAAACATATCTCCCTGTAGGTTTTAAATATTGCCTCTATTAGGTTAAGGCAGAATGCCTGTCCATGAACTTCTGGCCTCAAAGAAAATGGTGGTGGGAACTCCCGGCTGGTGCAGTCTATAGACCATATAACACTTGATCTTGAAGCTGTGAGTTTGAACCCCACATTGAGTGTAGAGTTTACTTTAAAAAAAAAAAAAAAAAAAAAGAGGGTAGCTAGCTCAATCAGTTAGGCATCTAACTCTTGATTTGGGCTCAGGTCATGATCTCAAGGTCGTAAGATGGAGCCCCATGTGGGGCTCTGTGCTGGGCATGGAACCTGCTCAAGTTTCTCTCTCTCTTTCTGCCCTTCCCCCACCCACTCAAAAAAAAAAAAAAAAGAAAATGGTGATGTCCCCATCAGCAGTCAGGCCTCTTACCCTGTAGCTCAAGTTTTCCTTGTGAGCACTCCCCAGGGACTGGGAAGGCATGCCACCCCAGGGCTGGGGGCCCACCAGGAAGTCCTATGCCACCAGCTCCACTTGCTGTGTTCTCCATTCCCTGAGCAAACTGTGATGGCAGAAGGACCGGTCAAAGCCTGGCTCTTCAGCTTTCCTGAGAGCTCCAGCAAGAGGAGAGGGGAGCGAGGGGAGCGAGACGGCACCCCAGAGCATCCCTGTCCTGGGAAAGACAAGTGGTCATTGTAACAGGGAACTCCCTCGGGCCTGAAAGCTGCTTCCTTGGAAAGCCCACCCCTTCCTGGGATGCCCCCAACTCTTAGAATACACCACCTTTCAAGGACAGGTGCTGGGTTCCTCCCACAAGAGGTCACCCTTCTGGATCTCGGAAAATAGTGTCTACACAGTAGCCGCAGGGTTGCTCGTTTTTTTTTTACTTATTATTGTCATCATTAATGGGTATGGGTGGGGGGTTTTTTTGAACTTTTTAAATACATGCAGAAAACTGCATGTGTCAGAAGCGTGCATGGTGGTGGTCACGCAATAAATTGGGCTTAGTGCTGCCTAACTTTACACTTGAAAGTGGTTGAAATGGTAAATTTTGCTATGGGTGTTTTACCACAATGTTTTCAAAGTGTACAGTTTGCTGTATTTGCACAAACTGAATATCCCGTGCAACCAGCACCCAGATCAAGAAGAATGTGACCTGCCCCCTACAAGGCCCCCATAGCCACAGAGATTTTTTTTTTTTTTAATAGAAAACAGCTGCCATTTATTACAGCTCCTCTGTGCCAGCTATGTACTCAGTCGCAAGTGTTCTCATGCAGGCAGTTGTCTGTGACGTGCCTCACAGTCATGGTTCCACATACTAGGAGCCAGAGGCTGGAGTTAGGGAGCTGCCTGGGTGCCCAGAGGAGCCAGCAGGGGGCAGAGCCACGAGTGAGGTGTGGGAGTGGCACCCTGAGGACTGTGTCAGGTTTGGTCTCAGAAAGACCCAGAGGACCAACCCCCAACCTCCAGCCCAGAGAGGACTGAACCTTTCAAGATACATGAAAGTTTAGGTCTGCTGGGAGGTGGGAGAGAGGGGAATTGGGCTTTGATCTCTTCTGATCTATGATTCCTTATTGTTATTTTGATTCTCAGATGAATGCTTCTCCTCTGAGTCTACCTGCTTTGAATTCTGAAATACCCTCCACTTCCCCTCCCTGTACTATATAATTTTCTCTCAGTCCCAAAGCTGGTTAGAACTTCTAACCAACTTCAGAAAGGTGAGAACTAGGGAGGAGTAGGAAATACCACCCAGCTCTTCCTCTGCTGGTTTGTCCACACTGCAAGGCGATCCACACATCAGATCCTGGGACCCTTGGAAAGCCAGTCCTTGCCAAAGTCAAATTTGTGACTTCTTCCTTTGTTGATCTGGATAGGCATCCAGATCGACAATGGCATCCAGTTGAAATTTTGAAGAAACATTCCAGGAAGATCCAGTCTATCTCAATCTGTGTTTTATGATTTACATGAATGGCCTTTCGTGTTTTACAGGCTTTGAGGCTCTGGCCTTGTTCTCTTATCAGAAAATATTACAAAGTTTTTTTTTTCCCTTATATAATGTTCTTCCTTCTTGCCAGTGAAATTCCTCATCTTACATGCCATTTAAATGCCCTTTTCCAGGGTTATGGGGGGAAAAATAAGGTTTTTACAACAAATACAGTATCTTGAAGTAAAGGGTAATAATAGGGAAGAGGAAATCATGAAGGACAAACAAAGCAATAATAGAGAACCAGATGGCAAGCGCCTCCTTCCCCCTCCCCCAGTCCCTCCCAGCCCCTAGCTCTCCTCCACTGGGGGGAGGGGAATGGCACTCTGTTCTCCCTGGGGCAGCTGCCACACCTCCTAGTACTTGTGTCCTCCCACTCCTTACCCCATCCAGAGGCAGAAAGAGAAGGCGGCAGGGCTGGCCTTTGTGTTTTCAAGTGTGGCAGGACCCGGGTGGTATAAGTGTGTGCTTGTGCCCCGAGCCAGTGGCACGGCCGCCCGGCATGGGGTAAGGGCTCTTCAGGGACCCATTACAAGTACTCGGTGTAGTGCACTTGCACATTAATAAACTTGAACCCATTTTACAGACTACTTAAATGCATCTATTTTATTCCCTATTTTCACATTTCGTGACTTGGTGATTTACCACCTAATAATAAACATGTTACACAGAGTGGAATAGTGCCTACGGTAGTGACTCCTTTAAAGTTCTTTCCATCTTGTTAAGGAGAAATCCGGGATTAGCGGGTCCCATCTATGCATTTGATAACGTTGTTATGGATATGCTCTCTTACGGTAAGATGACAGTAACCAAATTGAGAAAGAATATAGCATTTATAATAAAAACACTCCACAGCTCAATGGAACAGGCTCTCCTCTGTGTGCGGATGCCACTTCCTGGCTGTCTCAGGGGCCAACAAACCCAATGAGTGATTTAGGGGATTGAGAACGGGCTCTTTTAGTAAGTCTTTAAATTAGAGAAATAGGGGAAGCTATTATAAAAACTTAAAAGTTATTCTAAATGAGAGCCTTAAATCATATTTTTGAGTCAAAGCAAGATAAAGTTAAAGAAAATCTCACCAATGCTGAATTAATGAAATATCTGAACTGTAAGAACAGGTTTTTTTTAAGTGCATTTTTAATAATGTTAATTTTCACAATAATTTAAGAAGTAATAAGTCACATAGTAAAGATTCTGTTTTCCTAAATCAAGGTGAATGATTTGTGAAAGAATATTATTTGTGGGTGAATTGGACTTCCAGTGCATTGAAAAGATGATTTATTCATTTGCTCAAAAGATTTTTTTGATAGATGTTTTGAGTCTGTACCAGCCTTTTTGGGCACAACCTGTGAGGCTACTACATAATACATTGTTTCCTTATCACCTCATATTGCCTTTGATGGAAAAAGTGACCCTAGATGGCCTCAAAAAAGAAAAGAATTTTCTCTTTCTCATGAGTAACTGAAAACCTTTGTGAGATTAATGGAGTCACTTAAGAAAAAATCATGAATTCCTGATACATGACTTTAGAATGAGCTGATAGTTGGATTCTAATCTGTGCTAAACTATTTAGGTGCTAATTTCAAAATGAGATGTTAGTGCTGGATTTGAAATGGAAATTGTAGTTGACCCTTGAGCAATGGGAGGGTTGGGGCACCAGCTCCCCCCACTGCGCATGGTCAAAAATCTGCATATAACCTTGACTCCCCAAAAACTTCTAATAGTCTACTGATGACTAGAAGACTTACCGATAGTCAATTAACACATACTTCATATATGTATGATATATACTGTGTTCTTAGAATAAAGTGAGCTAGAGAAAAGAAATGTTATTAAGAAAATCATAAGGAAGAGAGTACATTTACTGCACTGTTTTTATTGGGAAAGATCTGCGTATAAGTGGACCTATGCAGCTCAGACCTGTGCTGTTCAAGGGTCAAACATACTTGATTAATCCCGAATCATCTGACGGGGCATCGTGGTGGCTAGGCCGTTAAGCCTCTGCCTTCGACTCAGGTCATGATCCCAGGGTCCTGGTATCAAGCCCTGCATCTGCCTCTCTGCTCTGCGGGAAGCCAGCTTCTCCCTCTCCCACTCCCCCTGCTTGTGTTCCCTCTCTGGCTGTCTCTCTCTCTCTCTCTCTCTCTCTCTCTCTCTGTCAAAAAGAAAGAAAGAAAGAAAAAGAAAGAGAAAAGAAGAGAAATCCCAGATCATCTGAATAAGATTGGGGTTGTCCAGCCCCGGCAAAATGTATAGGCTTCCCGCCTCAGGTGACATTTCCACGTACCCAACAATGATACTAGATAGTCTTCTTAATTTAAATCAATTAGAGCTAACTTGATGGAGGTTGCAATTAAAGATAACCTGCTGCTGAAAGCTCTTAATTTTTTATTATTTTGGAGCATTTCCTGGGTGTGGGGTTTGGGAGGTGGAGTAAGGGAAAGAGAAAGGAGAAGGTTGGGGAGATGGTAGGTATTGTTAATTTTTTATGATGAAATGTCTCCATCTGGTGGAACTTTAGAGTAGTAAACATTGTCACCAGCTTGAAGCCTCCAAAGCCGTTTCTTAGCACATGTTCAAAGAAAAAAATTAATTTCCACATGTGTTCCTAGATGGTATACTTAACAATTGCATGTATTTCTTTTAGAGGACACAGAAATGAAACCAATATAAACTGTTCAACGGTTAACAGTTTTACTTTCATGATTTGAGGCCAAAAGCCAGAGGAATCCAATAGGGGAGCAGCACAGTACACCACACGATCAGTAAAGACCCAGATCCTAAGTCGAGTGGTGGGTCCACAGGGGTTCATACGCATGTATGTTCCTCCATGCCTGTCAGTCATTTCCTGAGACAAATCTGGACATAAAGTTTTCTTAGCAAAGGACTTCCCGGGTATGAGAACTTATCTCCTTGTTTCGGTTGATTTGTTCGTTTAAATTTGTCTAATAGGGTGAAAAAAGGAAAGACTGAAAAATGAATTAAAACATAAGTTTTTAGGGGCACCTGGGTGGTGCTGTCGGTTAAGTGCCTCAGGTCTCAGGTCCTGATCTCAGGGTCATGGGATGGAGCCCCGCATCGCAGAGCCTGCTTAAGATTCTCTCTCTCCCTCTCCCTCTGCCCCTCCACCTTCTAAAATAAATAAATAAATCTTTAAAAAGCCAAAAGACATAAGTTTTTAAAAGCCTTTGCCAGCACCCTGTTTTCTCATGGGCTGATTTGTGTCACTTGTGCCACCAAGCAGTGGCCCACAACCACACCAAGAGCACGTGTGGGCTTGCCGCCACTTGCCTGTTACTTTATTAAATCCTGTCTGAGTTGTTGCTCATCAGTCTCCTCGCTCAGACAGTCAGTCTTCAGAGAATGGGGCTCTCGAGTAAGGCGCGTGTTAATACAGAGGCTGGTTATTCTCTACCTGATCCCATCAGCCTAAGAACGATCTTGACCGGGGCTAAAAGCCAACACATTTTCTTCACTAGCTGAGGGCTTTGACACAGAGTCCGGCCACAAAATGATGTTTAATAAAAAAGGGTAGGGTTTTCTCTTGCTGCCTCCAAGGACCAAAAGAGGAAGGAGAACAGGCCGTGAGCCCCTGCTGAAGAGCCACCAGACAGGTCTTGGTATGCCCAAGAGCAGCGGCCTCACCACCTCCCCTGCCCTCGCACCCCTGACCGCAGGCGGGTGCCGGGTTCTGAGGACTCCGCACAAGGCAGGGCTGCAGCCCCACATATGTGTGTGGGGAGAGTCACACACTCTGCCCCTTCTCTCCGTCACACGTCCATTGCCGTGAGTCCAACACATGAACTCCAACCATTGAACTGACCCGTTTGTTCTGAGAGTGGTGTTACAAGCCCCCCTTTCACGTCCTTCTGCCCGCATGCCTGAGAGCCCTCCCTCCCCATCCCGGCTGAGACAGGCTGTTGCCTGGAACACTGGGTCTTACAGAGTGGGGAGACTCAGAGCCTCAAGTGCCTGGCTGGTTTGTGTCCTCCCCCCACCCCTGCACACTTGTACACACACATCTAGACCCTTCCTCTCCTGTGCACCAGACTCAGATCTGTAGTCAGTGGAATAACCTCAGGTTGAAGGCTTCTGAACCAGGCCTACCCTGTTGGCCTCGTCGTTCTACCCATTGTCTTGAAAGCAAGCAAGGCAGGTATGAGGGGTACGCTTTCATTCCTTCCTGGGCCTCCTAGCAGGCTTCCTGTCTGAGATGATGGGCAGATGAGCTGTTTTCTTTCCTGATATATCTATTAATGGCTAACAAAATAACACTAGAGCCAGCAGACAGTTTGCATCTGTCCAGCAGTACCAGAGGATGCTGCTTACCTCAGGATGTGAGTTGAAATAGAGACTTAGCTAAATTAGTAGAGTTAGTGCATGCTTTGTTTTTCCTTCTAGCTTTGCTGAGATATAACTGGCACATAACATTGTATAGGTCGTGATGGGTTGTGTACAACATGACGGGTTGTACGATATGTATGGTGTACCATGTACAGTGTGGTGGGTTGACACATGTATATATTGTGAATATTTACCACAATAACACATCCTTCACCTCACATAACTACCATTCTGTTTTTGTTACAGGATTTTTCTGAAGTAGCCTGAGGTTGGGTTCCCTTCCCCTCTGTCCAAGTTGGGGACACTTACCAAGCAAAATGCCCCTCCACCCCAAGAGAGCTATCTCATGTCCAGGGTCCGACGTTGTTAATTTGCAAATTAAATAAGAAATGAGAGACAGCACCGGAGTCAAGCGACAGTCAGCTCAGACTGTAGCCCTGTGACCCTTACAAAGGGCTATGTTGGAGTGTGGAAAAATCAGGCAGTGGAATGACTAGGAGATGGTCTTATACTCTTACGGCGTTGAGTCTGTAACTGTAGGACACTGAAATGGTCAACACATTCACTTCCTTTTCTCTTTGTTCTCTGCAGGGAAGGAGACTGGTGGGAAGCCCGCTCCTTGACAACCGGAGAGACTGGTTACATTCCCAGCAATTACGTGGCTCCCGTTGACTCTATCCAGGCAGAAGAGTATGTTTTGTTTGTTGTTTTCACTCAACTACTTGCTTTTAAAAGTTAGCTGTCACAATAAAATGCCATTAACTTTGTGCAGGAGGGAAAAGAAATTCGCTAGAGTGATTTCAGGGCTGAGAGGATATGCCGTGTTTTCCCAGGCCTTGTGCTGTGGTTTTTGCCATATCTATGTAACACTTGTACTATTACTAACTTACTATTTTTCCTTACACCTGTTTTTTAAAAACATACTTAATTCGAAAGGGATCGTTATCAGAACCCTAATGAAAACCCAATATTAGGGGCGCCTGGATGGCTCAGTGGGTTGGGCCTCTGCCTTCCGCTCAGGTCATGGTCTCAGGGTCCTGGGATCGAGCCCCGCATCGGGCTCTCTGCTTAGCGGGGAGCCTGCTTCCTCCTCTCTCTCTGCCTGCCTCTCTGCCTGCTTGTGATCTCTGTCTGTCAATTGAATAAATAAAATCTTTAAAAAAAAAAAAAAAACCAATATTACTTGCCATAGATAGAAACTAACCAGGAAAACACGATGAGGTTCTGGCCAGAGCATATGTTGTTACTGTGAGCGCAAGGTTCGAAGACTATAGTCTGCTGAAAAAAAATGAGAGCGAGGGTGGGAAAAAGAATGGGAGTGGGGAGGGGAAGAGAAAGGTGGGGAGGGGGTCAAGGGGGCAAGTAATTATTAAAGATCAGCATGAGATTTTCTTTCTTCATGTAATCGGAAATATTAAGGGGATACTGAAGGTACTTCTCCCACAGCTCAGGGAAATCCTCTGATGGTGCATTTCAGATGCTCCTTTCCTTTGAGTTGGGGTCTTGGTTGGTTTCTTTGATAGTAAATTGTGACTAGCTGTTAGTTGGACCAAGAAATTTCACTGGTACCAGTTTGGGGAGATGGTCTGTAGGCTGAGGGGATTCTAGGAGGGACAGCCATTGTTCCTTTTGCTGACCTGTGGAGGACTCCTGGCCACTTCCAAAAGGGAGAACTCTCAGAGTGGCTTGTGTGAGGACCCTCTTTTTTGAACTGAGGGAAAGAAAACTGGCCCAGGACTCCCAAACCTGGGGATCTCTCCTCCTCCCTGATGCCCTGGGGATCTGTCTCTTCTGGGAGTCTTGCCTCACCAGTAAGGGAGTCAAGAAAGTCAGACACGAGGCCATCTTTGGCTCTGGTACTGCATTTTGCACTGGGGGTGAGACTGCACACCCCAGCCAAACCCCCAGCTGGTTCACCGTCTTGCCTTTAATTCCTTTATATTCGCTCTAAGACGATTGCTTTTGTTCCCCACTCCCAAATACTCAGTGCTTCTGCGCTCATTTTTTCCTTCTAGGGAGTGTGTTTTATCATCAGAGAATAAAGGAATTTGTATCGAATTTTTATTTTAGGGCACGTTTGCAAACATCTTTGTGTTCGTTCAGAATAAAAGGCACCACTAAATGTGGCATTTTGATTTAACTGGGAACCTACCAACTCTATATTTAAGTTATATACGTGTGTAATGTAATATATTTTTTAAATACTTTGTTTTTAAAGAATAAATTAGCATTCTAAGGAGATAGCGCGTATGGTTTTACATAGGCAATTAATTACCATTATCTGAAAATGCTCTTGTTTTAGTTCCATCCATTGTTCTAACAGCTCTTTTTTCAACACTGTTCGCGGTCGTGCTGCATTTTCATTGGGCGGCTGATGCAAACCCGGAAAGTCATTTTTCATAAATAATTGTTGTGATTCTCTTTCCACCATCTAGTGCTAAGTTAGGATCATTACCCAGTCCGGTGCCTTTAAAAGTCACTGAGGAGCTCGCTTTTAGCGTGTCTTTTCCCATCTTCAGTGAGGCTCTTTCATTCACAAAAGAATTTGACAGGGAACACATAATAGCTGTGTTCAAGTATAATGAATTAAAATTTCATTTTAGAAACTGGATCCTTTCACAGTCGAATATTCTAAAATTGTTTCTAGGCACAGATGCCAGCAGGGCGCTCCTGACTTCCTCCTCAGATTCTCACAGCCCCTGCTGCTGCTGCTTCAGCACCCCGTGCAGAGACGTTAGCCGAGGGCCGGGCCACGGTTAGGGCTGCAGGGTGGGAGGGAAGAGAGGAGATAAGCAGCCGAGGTTGTGAGCTGACTGGAGGTGCTGCCTTCTCACATGGCACCAGAGTGTCATCTCAGGGAGGGTGGGAAGCGTCTGCAACGCCAGTCATTTGTTAGGGACGCGCTCCTTGACTGTTCACAGGGACCCATCCCTGCATCTGTGCCGAGCACGCATGCGCAGATCCCCACCCACCGGCGGGCAGAGCCTTTCATTTACCCAAGTCCTCACACCTGCTGGCCAGGAAGAGCATGAAAGCAGGCATCCAAGGGCAGCAGTCATCTCAAATTAGGGGTCGTCTTGACAATTTTTTTCAAAGCTGCTATAGGTACAAAGTTACTGAAAATATCGGGTCTTTGTTCTTTATCCGTTCTGACTGACTTTTTTTTAATGCTTGATTAATGATCTTCTCTAGACGAAGGCTGCGTTTCATTATTTCCCAGGGGTTGTAATTATGCTCCGAAATCCCAGGGTCTTGGAGGTGTGCATGGGAAGGGTCTCCTGCAATTGCCGTTTCAAAACAAGGTCTTGGATTTCTCCTTTTGTGAATGCAGGGGGCAGTGTTAACACAAACCAGTTCTTGTCACTCTGGAAGGGAAGGGAAATCAGCCACAATTCGAAACTGATTTTTTTTTTCTTTAAAGAGTGAAAGAGATGGATTAGGGATGGATGGAATCAGGAGCAGACTGAAAGGGAGCGAGATGAGGCTAGGAAGACATGTGGAGGGAAAGGCTGCGTGTGTGATCGGAGGTGAGGAGGAGTGCTATTGCATTTTTGTAAATGAGCCTTACAAATCGCTTCCTTCCCTTGATCTCATTTAAAGGTGGTACTTTGGAAAACTTGGCCGAAAAGATGCTGAGCGACAGCTTTTGTCCTTTGGAAACCCAAGAGGTACCTTTCTTATCCGTGAAAGTGAAACCACCAAAGGTAAGATAAGGAGTTGAAGAACTTGGTTGTCATTCAAATCTGTGGATTAGTCAGAGGGGATGAAAGGCTTATCTCTAATGTACAAGGGTTTTTAAATGGCACATATCCTCCCTGCCTTGTGAATGGAGTCCTATTTTTAGTTTTCCCTCCAGGCTCTAGAACTGCAGACAGCTAAAAGGCCTGCAGAGGCTCAGAATCAAGCCCTTCGTCCTGAAACAGAGGCCAGGCAGCTTCACTCCTGCAGGCACACAGGATCGTAGAATTTGCAGCAGGTCTTTAGAATTACGGCTTTCTACAACTCTTAGTTCCTCAGGCACCAATCCTACAGGTCGTTTTTGCATTCCTTTTGTTTTTTGAAAACTGACTGCTTTCCTCCAGCCTCCGGCCTTTCATTATTTAACCACACGTTAGAGCCCAGGAGAGAAGCTGGGCCAAGGGAAAGCAGGAGCTGTGGCCTTCCAGCTCGATCTACCAGACGTGGGGGTCTGCTCCTGAGACAGGGTTGTGAGAAGGAACTGGAGGCTTCCTTTTAGAGCCACAGTCCTTATACCTGTTTAACTCACACTGCCTCTGCCTCTGCGACACTCCATGGACAAGGATGATGAGGAAAGCCACCCCTGCTGGCTGGGCTTTGTTGCTCTTCTCTTCATCTTCCCCCCTCCCCAGGGGAGTTGGGACTGTACCCTATTAGGCAACACGAGGGTACTAAAGAGAGTGTTGTAGGAAAAGCCCAGGTGGGCTTTCATTCTCAAGGATAAAATCACTGAATTGTTACTATCTCCTGACACTTGTAATAAAGAGGTGTTTTCTTCCGCTGAGTGGAAGTGTGTGTGTGCACATGCGCATGTGTGTCCTCTTCATAATTGTTGATCAGAATACTCAAGTAAACGAGACCCAGAAGACAAACGAGCTCGCAAAATGATTGGAGCTGCTGATGCTATGTGCGTTTTTACCAGGTGCCTATTCACTGTCAATCCGAGACTGGGACGACATGAAAGGAGACCACGTCAAACATTATAAAATTCGCAAACTTGACAATGGTGGATACTATATTACCACCCGGGCCCAGTTTGAAACACTTCAGCAGCTTGTACAACATTACTCAGGTAACCCTGATTCTAACTAACTAGTAACCCCTGGTACCCTGGAGGGGATGGGTAGGCGAGGGGAGGTGGTGTGTGTTGGGGGGGGTGGGTACTGACAGTTCGCCAGCCGCACAAGGTGGGGCGCAGCTGAAGAGGTTCTACCAGGGTTGTTATTAGTTCCATATGTATACGTTTGTCAAAAGACTGTAACATTCTAGTTCCCAAGGACAAAGCAGTAAGTTAAATTGTAAAAGCTGTTGTCTTTTCCTGTTCCCCTGGAGTCTGGAATCGGAAACTGTGACAGGAGAGGGAACAGTGTCTGGGAGGGAACTCACAGGGGGCTCCTGTCGGGGGTCCCCCAGTTCACACTCAGCACTCACAGGAGTGGCTGCACATGCTTTTCATTCCCATGACCAGAGGAATTTTGCAATCCACTTATCATGTTCTGTTTCTCCACCAGTGCTGCTTTTTCCTAACAAGATACTGTAGACTGTGTGACCCACACATGTAGCACGGTTACAGCTCTTGTATGAAACTTCGGAACAGTCAGTAGAGCAGTCGCTGTCCTGACCCCCGATGTCACTGCTAGTGTGTTGTTCCTAGAGATGTACACTTACTAGGTGTTTAGGTGTGCAGTCTGTACATTTTAGTAGAGGATGTGGTCTTACACATAAGTATCAAAATGACCGCTTTCGTTCCAAGATTAGCAAAAGCCTCCCATTATGTAACATACACAGGTGGTTTTTTATATAGATACATATGTACAGATATAGAGCTATGTCCCCTTAAACCCAGTAGTATTTTTGTGATGTGTATGTGTGTGTATATGTATATATACACTCATATATGCATATACACATAGACACATTTTATATTGTTCTTCAAGACAATAACAACACCACAAAGTAGTACACGACTTGATCTCAACTATTGCTCTGTGCACATTCATTTTAAAAAATGTGTGTGTCATTTTTTAGCACCAAGAAAAGCAATCTTTTGAAAATGACAATAAGAAACACCTCTCAATTGATCCTGGGCACTAATGAAAAAGTGAAAAAATTAACAACACTTGGAGTTACTCGTTGATTAGGACGTTGGGTAGCTTTAGTTTATGTGGGTTCTAATGAAACGTGTAGTAGAAATGAAGCAGAATATCTCCCCGAGCTTAAACAACATACTCAAAATGCCTGCATGTGTAAGGATTTTTTCAGATGCCGAAATCTATTTCATTACAGCCAGACATCAGCAGGATCCCCAGGGTTTGGATCATTTGAAAATATTGTGTTGGAAAGGGCACCTTAATAACATCGTAAAGCTGGAAGGAGAGGAGGGATATGAAGAGCAGTAGACATTTTTTAATCTCAAAAAAAATCCATCTCAAGTTAGATTTGTTTTTATATTGGCTTTTCCTCTTCCCTCTTTCCCTCTCCCACACAATAAAGTGTCTTTGAAATACTGAAACATAAATAATTTCCTGCCTAAACATCTCAGAACTTGATCCTACCACAAAGAAAGGAGTAAAAAGTAACTTAGAGCTGGTTCCCAGAGAAAAGACAACAACCCTACATATGATTTCCCTGGGTCTGAGGGGCCTCCAGCGGGGTGTGGGGCTCTGTCCACCTCACAAGCCAGGCTCTCTATAGCCTTTGTCACTGCCCTGATTCCTCGTGCTTTGTTACCTTCCCTTACCTGACAGATGTTTCACTTGGCATTCAAGCAATTTCTCCCCCTCACCACTGCCAGATTCTAAAAGGTATATTCTTAAAAAAAAAAAGAAGAAGAAGAAGAAAGAGAGAAAGAAAAGAAAGAAGAAAATTCCAAATAACCCATAGGTGATAATTGTTTTCCTTTGTCTTTTTCGTAGGAAACAGAGTGCTTTCACATCCTTGAGTTTCTGCAGATTTCAGTTTCCTTTCTGTTTTGAAACCAGATTTCTAAATTATATATTAGAGATTATTATAAAGATTTGTTTTAATAGGAAATATCAATGAAGCAAGAGTATCTGATTGGTAGAATAGAGTCAGTTAAAAAGCCAGAGAAATCCTAGAGAAATGTGACCTCTTTCTTCCCCTGCCAGGTGTAATCTTTAGTCTTACTAGTTTATAATAGTCTAACATTCTATGGAAAGATCCTGTACCAAAGTTACAATTTTAAGTATATTCATAGCAAAGAAGGTCCCTAAGCCCTTGACATACAGAGGGAGGGGACAGTCGTGCTGATGTTCTGTAGTCCAGATGTACCCTTTGAAATCAGTGGAAGTATTTTCAGGATTCCAGAGACATGATATTAGCATACTGGGCAGAAAACATTTTTCTTCCTTAGTGAGTATAGAAACCAAAATAGCCGTACCTGTACCTGTATATGTGCGTAGCCTATATTATACCCGGAAGCACAGAGCAGTCCCACCTAAAATGTCCTCTGTCCTACCTCCAGTGAACATGTTTCAATGTCTGGTGTCTAATCTTCCAAGATGTGTGCAGTTCTCTGCTGATGTAGCGCTGTTTTGAGCAACGCCATGCGCTCGCTGGGTTTGTGTGATTCTAAGTGTTGTTTCACGTGTTCTGCTTTTCTCTCCCTCTCCTGCTGCTGTCCCCGCTCCATCAGAGAGAGCCGCGGGTCTCTGCTGCCGCCTAGTAGTTCCCTGTCACAAAGGGATGCCAAGGCTTACCGATCTGTCTGTCAAAACCAAAGATGTCTGGGAAATCCCTCGAGAATCCCTACAGTTGATCAAGAGACTGGGAAATGGGCAGTTTGGGGAAGTATGGATGGGTATGCTGAGACTCAATTATTCTATTACTAGCTCTCTCGTTTGGGAAGTCCCAAACATCCAAGATGGAAGGTGAAAAACGAAGACTTTATGGCCTGGAAGAAGGTTTAAATTACTAATAGTGGGGAATTATGCCTTTGATTTGAATTTCAGAATTCCGGAATTTCCAAAAGAGAGATAGCCGTCAAGATTGGCAGATGGCTCAAATTATGCTATGATATGAGTTTTGACTCATAAGCCAGAAAATAGTATAAGGCATGTTCCAGCCTGCACAAATGCCTTGCCTTTCATTTTCAAGTGCAAATGTTTGCCCAGTGCAGTGTTACCCCACAGGGCAAGTCACCTTCCATCTTTCCTAGTGCATGCATAATTATGGATTATAAGGACTGTGTTTTCTTTATTAATTCCCTTTCCTGTAGAGAAAGCTGATGGTTTGTGTTTTAACTTAACTGGGATTGCATCGAGTTGTACCCCACAAACTTCTGGATTGGCTAAAGATGCTTGGGAAGTTGCACGTGATTCATTGTTTCTGGAGAAGAAGCTGGGTCAGGGGTGTTTCGCTGAAGTGTGGCTTGGTAAGGCAGAGGGCACATTTCATTTTGGATGCATCTCAAAGCCAATTTAAAGACCGTTTGGGGCAAAAACATCCACACAGTCATTGGGACCAAGACATTTAACCTGGCTAGCTAGATGGGCACAGGACATTCAGATCTTGAGAATGTGGCAAAACCGCTGCACTTTTCTGTCCTTCTTCAAATAGTTAATGAAGGCAGGCACACACAGAACAAGAAACCAGTACAATAAGAGTCCATTGTTTCCTCTTCCTAAGACCTGGGAAGGTAAGATACTACAGACAGTTACTATAAGAAAGACCATGGGCTTTTTTGCTCAGTAGGCCTGGGTTTGAATCCTTACTAACTGATTAACCATGAGCAAGGGGCCAATTTAACCTCTTTGTGCCTTTGTTCCCTCATCTGTAAAATCAGAATGATACCTACTTTTTAAGATTGAGGATTACATGGGACAATGCACTTAGAGTCCCCGTGTATAGGAGATGCTCAGTGGACACTCCTACTTCCCCTTAATTTGGTTGTCATGTCGTTGATCAGGCTGACTGCACAGGGACCCTCCCACGGCTTTCATAACACCTTTCGGGCCCTGTTGCAGCTTTGCTTAGAGAGAATCCATAAATTTGGTCCCACCCAAACACACTTGTCAGTGAGACAGATGTTGGTGCTTATGGAATCCTCCTTCTTTCTTTCTTAGATTCAATTCAAATTCAAAAAACAAAATTTTTTTTAAATGTTGCTAAAAAAAAAAAAAATAGAGGTAGGTACCTGTTGCCACATGTACCTGTCCGTGTTTAAGGTGGTCCGCATTAAAAGGTTTAACACAGTGAAAGCACTTGGAACAAAGCCTGGCAAGGACCAAGTGTTTACACAGATGTAGATACAGCAGTGAGGTTGGAGATGGACGCTCGGACATACACGTTTGTGTGTGTCCGCATAAGATACTGTATAATAAGTGTGTATAAATATCTTTATATGGCCTTCCTCTCCCTCATCCGCCCAGTTTGTAATTGAAGTTGTGGATGCCAAGGATTTTAATTTAATCAATTATGCAGTCAGGAAGAATCAGACGTTATACAAAAATTTATTATCAAACTTTATAATTAACAACTTTAAATCAGTATGCCATACTATTAAGAATCTGTTTCCCACTGAACATAAAACATCAAGTTATGCTAGTTCAGGATCAGGAAGGAATGCCAGTGAGACTAACTGTGTTGTTATTAGAGAAGAAAATCTCTATTTAAAATTTTGGGATGCTAACAGCACTCAAATAAGAAAGACCACTGACAGATTGTCAGATTTTCCATTTATGGTTGTGGTCAGATGTTTTATAAGATTTGAATGAACTCTTCTTTAAGCCACTGTTCTTTCATAACTTAGATTCTTGTAGGTTGCATGCTGTAATTATATGAACCATGTCTCGAACAGGGTGACAAAAGTTCACTGAATTTTTTAATTCTAAAGTCAATTATATTCAATATAAAAATTTTAATTTAAACCACTTTTCTAAATAGAAAAGGTATAATCTAACTTCACAAATCTTTCTGTTTCCCTTAGAGATATATGTCAAAGTCCTAGAGCTAATAGTGGAATACACATTGAACTTGCATTTTTTCTTTTTTTTTTCCTTACATTTGGGGCTGAAAGAGATTCAAAAGATAATCCAGTTCCATTCCTATATTTTACAGATGAGGCAACCAATGATCATAAACCAGGCCTGTCTCTGTACCTACCTGATTTTAACATGTTATGCCTAAATATTTCTGTTCCCTCTTAGCTGCTGTTTGATTTTTCCACTGTAAACTGATAGAAGCTATTGTTCTTGTGGCAGACCATCAGTAAACCTGAGGAATTTTCCTTACCTGGTTGAAGTATGGGGCAAGTAGACTGCGAGCTTCTTGCCGATGCTTATCAGCATACTTGTAATCTTACTTCTGTATCAGCTGTTCAAGGACTCAGTCAAGTAACCCATTTACTGAAGACAGTTGAAAGTCTGGAGGTAATCTCCAGACATCCTCAATGTGTTGCCATGTTTTGTTTTTTTTTTTTAATGGCACACTTCATAACATGGAACTTAATCTAGTTTCTTCCACGCTCCCTCTACTACCTAAGGGATAGCTATGGGATGGCTGGGCCTGTTCTAACCTTTGGACATTCGTCCTTGTAAAGAAGTGTCCAGAGCTTTTGGTACCAATTTGTAGTCAAATGGGTGATTACGGAACAGGAAAGCGGCATGTATCAAAATAAGAAAAAAGTTGCAAGAATTATAAACCATAATATAGCCGTAAGGAAACACATTTTTCCTGTTGAAATATTTGACAGAGTCCTTACATTTGATTGTCCTCATTCAACAAAAAAAGATACTAAGTTCTTCTAAGTTAAACTCTAACTTTATGCAAAGTAGCTATTGATTTAAAATCTTTTTTTTTTCCCCATCAAAAGAGGATCTTGGATTTAACTTAATATTGTGGGATGTGTGCAGGTACCTGGAACGGAAACACAAAAGTAGCCATAAAGACACTTAAACCAGGCACAATGTCCCCAGAGTCATTCCTTGAGGAGGCACAGATCATGAAGAAGTTGAAACACGACAAGCTGGTCCAGCTCTACGCCGTGGTGTCTGAGGAGCCTATCTACATTGTCACCGAGTACATGAACAAAGGTTAGGCCCCACCTCACAGCTGACCCACAGGGGTTGTTCTGGGGAGGGCAGTGGCGGTGCCTGCTTGCTTTTTTCCTAGTTTCTTCATGAGTCAAGCATTCCCATCAGTGAAGCACAAATTGTGTGCTCATTAATGAAAACATTTTTTGAAACAGACCATGACCTTGAGTTTGCCCCCCACACACTTATGAAATGCAACACCTTCTGCACGCTGCACATGTCAGGAGTCCCAGCTCCTGGCCGTAATGAAAACATTCATTTTTAATATTAGGGGTGGCGTGGGAGGCTATGATCATTTGCTATCACTTCGAATGCCATGGGCTGAATTTTCTTTTTCAGGGCTGAACAGTTAATATCAGACACTGGACTCTGGGCTCAGTTTAGTCTCCATCTTCTCAGCACCTTTGTTTTTCCAGCATGCTTCTTAAACCTCAGATGGAGAAAAACATGCTTTTAAAGAGCACATTTTTTTTTTTTTGAAGATTTATTTACGTAGTTTAGAGAGAGAGAGAGAATACAAATGGGAGGGGCAGAGGGAGAAGGAGAGAGAGTGTCAGGAGACTCCACGCTGAGCGCAGAGCCTGATGCAGGGCTCAGTCTCAAGACCCCGAGGTCATGACCTGAGCTGAAGCCAAGAGTTGGGCTCTCAACTGACTGTGCTGCCCAGGTGTCCCAAAGAGCACATTTTATTCTCATTCTCTGTCTTTCTAATCAAAGCATTATTGCCAGGGATAAGGCCAAAGATCACTTTGTTTTGGAAAAATAGACAAAGCAAACAAGAAATAACCTTAAAAGGCAAGCATTGCACATCAGAGGACACTGGTGTAATTTTTCCTTTGCACATACTTTCTTTTTCAATATATGTGGAATTCTTGTTTACCTGCCAAACGCTTTGTCCTTTGTGTCCAGGGTTATTTGGTAAATAACTTTGTGATTAAAGCACGGAAGCAATCACGAATGATCATTGTGAACCTCCAGCCTCTGCCGGTGATTGTTTCAGCCCTGGTGTTGGTCCTGAGCTCCTTAACGGCCCCAAGCTAGCAGGGGGAGCTACCTGCCCCACTCTGTATTCCTCAGATACTCTTTCCTTGATTTAAAATCTGTAAATAAGCGAGGCCAGTGATTCTCGAACTTTGCCATGTGTCAGAATCACTCAGGGGGCTTCTTACAATGCAGGTTTCTGGACCCAGCTTCCAGCGTTTCTGATTCTGAATCTTGGGTAGAACCCAAGAGCTTGCATCTCTAACAAATTTCCCAAGGAGTGCTATCCCGCTGGTCCCGGGACCACACTTCGGGAACCACAGGGCTGGACAGCGTCTTCCCCATGTCCCTCCTCCGTGTGGGGCTGTTGGGGGATGAGGCTGAAATGGTGCAGCTCCCCACGTGTGCCCACGTGTCCTTCTTTGTGACACAAAAGGAACCGTATTCCATGTATTGTGGTTTTTATCAAACCTTTGTTGTCCTTAGAAATGGAGTCACCATTGTTTGTTTCTGAAAGAAAACTGCTGTCTCTCAAGGCACAGAGTTTTTTCCTAGCCTCCTTTTTTTTTTTTTTTTTTTTTTGGTATAAATCTTTTCTTCATTGACAGCATTATTCATTCAATCACCTCATTCCTTCTAATAAGAAAACCAAATATCGCCCTTTGTCAGGCATTTTTATCTTTCAGAATAAATTGAAATGGTTTTATATTTTGTTCACAGGAAGTCTACTTGATTTCTTAAAAGATGGGGAAGGAAGAGCTCTGAAATTACCAAACCTTGTGGATATGGCAGCACAGGTAGGCCTCGTGGCCCTTGGACCCTTGCCTCAGGTTTAGCGCCGTGTAGGTGCATCGAGTCATGGTGTGACTTGTGTCCTGTTCCCTGGTCCCCACAGGTTGCTGCAGGAATGGCTTACATCGAGCGCATGAATTACATCCACAGGGATCTGCGATCAGCAAACATTCTAGTGGGGAATGGACTCATATGCAAGATTGCTGACTTTGGATTGGCCAGATTGATCGAAGACAATGAGTACACAGCAAGACAAGGTGGGCATTTCCATAGGATAGCTTGTGATCACATGCTTGGGAACAGTCACTTACTGCACGGTTCCTTCCTCTCTCCTTCCATGCCCTTCCTCCATTTGAAATGGCATTCTTCAGCTGAGGTTTTTCTTCCTGATCTGGCAGGAATCTGATAGCTCTGCAGGTGGGAGACTGTAGTGGCTTCAATAGATGAACAAGATGTTGCTTTCTGGCGAATGAGTGTCCACTGAGGTGGTCTTCCTGGCTTGTGCTGCCCTCCTCACATCCAGGCCTGGGACGCTTTACTTTTGGGGAATGAGGACTATGGAAGGCCAAAAGATAAGTCAAATAACAGCTCGTCATTCCATCGAAGTCTCAGCAGAACACAGAAACATGTTCACTGGAGAATTTAATAAAGGAGTTATTCATAAAGTCATGGGCAGAGTTAGGAAAACCAACATGGCATAGTGTGAGATCCTAGAGCTAGTAAGTAACATCCACCCAGCGGGCCAGAGGCCAGAGGGCAGTGGGGAGGGAACCGCCCCCAGAGCTAAGAACAAGAGGCCACATTTGGCAGAGAAAGGCCAGGCATGGATCCGGTGATTTGTACCCAAGCTCACTCTTCGGGCCTCCTCCAGATGTCCTGCCCAACCTGGCAGGAAGCCCAAGCTCAGAGGAGCCCACTGGTGAGTCTAGCTGGGTCTAGAGCCAGGAGAGAGCAGAAAAGGGATCTAGAAGAAGGATAGAAAATAACAGTGTCCCCCAAGCAGCCAACCACCCTCTAGATCATCTGCCTCCATTCTCCCTCCCCCAGAGATTTGTAGAAATCAGACTGTAGATCAAACACATCCCAAACCAGTAGCCACTCCAGTGGGGAGCTTTTTGGCTGCTTTGAGAACACCCAGTGCCAGGGAGGGAATTCCCAGGGTATTTTCTACCGTCCTGGATCTGCACACAGCGGTCAGCAGGTAGGTGTGTGGAATTAAGTGTGCCAGACAAATGTATCCTCCTCCTGTAAAACGTAATGCTCGAGTCTGAAGGGGATGGGGGGGGGTGTCGTGGCTGCTGCTCATAAGCACGCCTAGGCCTTCTGAGCAGGGTTGAGCGATGATGAGGACATATTACAGGGGAATACTTTCTACTGGGTTTTTTGTTTGTTTGTTTTTTGTTTTTAAAGATTTTATTTATTTGACAGATCGAGATCACAAGTAGACAGAGAGGCAGAGAGAGAGAGAGAGAGAGAGGAGGAAGCAGGTTCCCTGCTGAGCAGAGAGCCCAATGTGGGGCTCAATCCCAGGTCCTGGGATCATTGACCTGAGCTGAAGGCAGAGGCTTAACCCACTGAGCCACCCAGGTGCCCCTCTACTGGGTTTTAGAAGGGCCACCCTGGAATTCTGATCCTTTCTTTCTTCTTAAATTCTTTCATTTCATGCCTGTTCTTCCCTCATCATTCTCAGCAGTCTCGAGTGATGGGGGAAATGTTTAAACGAAGACCCTGGCTCGAGCAGATACCGTCCAAATGCTCAGTCCCATGTTGGTCAGACAGCTCGGCTATTTGAATGTTCCCAACACTTCGCAGTTCCTGTCCTGGAGCCAAATGCCCAAACCGCCAGCATGCCCTCACACACACACATGCACGCACACGCGCACACACACACACACACACGCACGCTACTGCGGAGCCAGATGGCAGGCCATGTCCCTAATCAAAGGCACACGGGCAGCCGTGATTGGTGCTGGTCGTCCAGAGAGAAATGTGGATGTGATTTTGAGTCAAGGCGAGCTGAGAGGGCCTGAGACCTGGCCCTAAAAGAGAGTTCACCCCGCGGCAAACCCATCACGTCCCAACCCAGAGACCCAGAGGAGGGGGAGCAGGTGAAGGTTTGGAGACGTGAATATTTGATTCGGGATGGGGTGAGATTGGAGTCGGTCTCAGCAGACGGTCGTGAAAGCATCCTTGTTTGCATGAGTGGAGTCCTGGCGCCAGATGGGGCTGTCCAGGATCTGTCCCTCCCCTTCTCCCAGACTCTGGACTCTATAGAATTTGTGGTAACAAATTCTGGCCTTGAACCATCCAGAAGGTTGCAGGGCAGAAACCCAGGATGTAGACAGAGGCACTGCGGACAGGGCTGGAGGTTTAGTTCATGGAGTGGGGTCCTTTGGCTGTGGCCCTGGGTGCCTGGCACCGGAGGGGAAGGCATGTGCGAGCCCCTCACCAATTTCCCTGACGGCATGCTTCTGTGGAGCGGGGCCACACTGGCCACCCTCGGCCCTGGCCATCACATCCAATCCTCGTCTCCGACCAGCTGTCCCCATCCCCCTTCTGGTGGCTTCCTCACCCCCACCGTCACTGTCCCACCTGCTGTCCTGACACCTTTTGAAGGATCAGCTTCACACCCTTTGTACAGTGTTTCCTTTGCTTAACTTCCAAATAGAGAGTCCCACCCATCCCTCTTAAAACATTTTTTGCTTCCCTTTTCTCTTTCACAAATATCTTCACATCTGTGCTATACACTGGAGATAAGTAAGGAGAAGTAAATGATGTGGAGAACTGAACTTGGGGAAAAACAAAGGCTGTGGGGCTCCAGGATTTGCAAGGAGAATAAAAGAAATGGTCTCCTGCAGGAGAGGGAGAGGAAGGAGCTGGGGCATTTACAGGATACCTACCGAGAGCCAGCCTGAGGGGGTCACTGTGAAGAGTGTGGAGGGAACTGACAGAAATAGACTCAGGGGTTAAGTAACTTGTACAAAGTCACAGTTAGAAAAAGGGCCGAGGCAGGAGTTGAGTCCAGGTATGGCCAGCACTGTTGCTTCTGCTCTCGTCAGCTGTACTGACCACCTCTCATCAAAACAGTCATTGCAAAAATAAAAATTAAAAACTAAGATTAGACGTGAGTCCCTTTTTCCCTTTATTTTCTGGGAAAGTCTTTAAGGGGGAGCTTCTGATGTGCACGGGTGAGGGAGTTTGGAAGAGCTTTATTTTCCAGCTCTGGGACAACCCAGCTGTTTATAAAATTCCTCCCGAGGGCCTGGCCTGCCCTGGCCTCTTTATGAGGCAGAAAGGGCCCGGTCAGTGTGTATCTTCTCGTGTGCTCTGCAGATGGCATGCGACCCGCGTGCTAACGTTCCTGCTGGGATTAACCAGCTCCTCCACACAGCTGGTCCATGTGCTGGCTAATATTTTCAAGTCGGGTTTTATGATACCCACAGGCCACGGCCAGGATCAATCTTGATCAAGGAAGTGTGGGCGGTATTGAGAAGCAAGGGCCAAACACAGGTATTTAGGGACAGTTGTTTTTCAACACAGCTGTGGGTTTCCCATCTAAGGGAACACTGAAATGTCTGTCACCATTCCCCCTGCCGGGGATGGATCCAGTGATATTTCCCAGGGCACAAGTAGAATTGAAATTTGGACATGTGTTAAACAGCCCTTCCTGCGTTCCTTTCCTCTTACCACCCCCCTACCCCACTGGACTGTAAGCAGAAGCCATGTCAGGGAGAAGGTCAAGACCAGGGTCAGAGCCTGTGAGGGTGGTCCTCTGCCAACAGCCTTCTAGAGGCAACTCGAAATTATTTGGTATTGCTTTCTAATACCTGTACGCCTCCCTCCGTCACAGCAGATCTTCTGTAGTCATAAACACATTGCTAAATTCTGTCCAATCAGGGTGTCAGAGTGATGCCAGCATTAATTATTTGAATGCCTTGTCTGGGAAAGGGACTTTGCTAGGAGCTACAGATCTCAGGAAGCCTGAGATTGCACTGGGGAGGTCTGCAAGCGTGCAGAGGGACACACAGGAGCGGCGCCAAAGCCACATAAATCCATTGCCTGGGGCCTTGGCCAAGTTATTGAGCTTTTCTACACCTCAGTTTGCTTCTCTGTAAGGTGGAAATATATTTTACCTGCTTCGTGCTTTAATTTTTGCCAAGATAACAAAAAACAATACATGCAAAGTACTTAGCACAGTGCCCAGAACATGGCAGGTGGTAAATAAATGCTCCTGTTGTCATCCTGTACAAGACAGTCCTTGGGGAATAAACACGTGCAAGAATGGACTCTAGACCCAATGGAAAGGCTCAGACACTGTGCTGGAAAGGGAGAGAGGAAGCAAAGATAATGTCCACATAGTCAAATGCACATGTCATGAGAATGGACTTGCCAGCAACAGAAATAAGGGAGTCCGGGAAGAAGAGCTCATTTTCAGAGGAAGAGGGTGAGTTTGGCTTTGGGTTTGCTGAACTTGAGGTAGTTGTGATGGTACGTCCCAGTGCAGTGTCCAAGCCCTCACCAGGTGCCGCTGCCATGGTGCTACCTCCCAGCACCTTCCCCCCACTCCCTGCCTCGCCACTTACGCTGACCTCTCCCCTCGACTTGCACCATCGCCTGAGGTCCACCCTCAGCCACCTCCCTACCCCAGCATCAGCAGAGACGGCCCCAGCCCTGCCCGTGCCGTGGGCATCCCGAGGTTCTGCTGTCTGTCTGTCTGTCTGTCTGTGGTCACATGTCCACACCTCACCTCCTCCCATAACCACCAGCAGGAGCGGCTGTCACCAGGCCTTTCTCTCTAAGACTCCCAGCCCCTCCAACCATCAGTTCCTTCAGAGCTCACACAAACACACAGGAAACAGGGAGAATTCTTGATCGACTCCATATTCTTCTTCATAAGCTTTCAGGAAGCCCAGCACTGACTAGTCCTTGATTTAAACCTAATAAGTTCGGGTAGACTTGGCTTGTGGATAAAAACGACTTGCTTTTGTGGACACTTATTTTTTATTTAGCCATAACATACATACAATAAAATGAGTAAATCTGAAATGTCCAACTCAAGAAGTTTTTGCACATTGGTTTGCCTCTGAAACCGCCTGTGGACGAAGACACAGAGCACTGCCAGCGCCCCAGAAGTCCACCGCCAGCCCCGTCCAGCCGGTAGCGCCCAAGCGGGCAGCCACTGTCCCCACTGCTGTCAGCAGAGCTCCTTCTGCTGGCAGTGCAACTTCATAAACACCAGTCCCAGAGTCTCACTCCC